TCATTCTACAACAGTGGCACCATATAGCATTTGTCCCTTTGTGACTGAGATACCTCACTCAGCATAATGTCCTCCAGGGTCACCCATTTTGAATGTTCTTTTTAAGAAATGAATTCCATTTCCTTAAATATGTGCAACTTTAAATAAATTTTCTGTTGTTATGTGCCATTTCTAGGTGTTTGGTTTTTTTTTATTGTTGCTGCAGTTTCTTAGTTATGTATTTTAGGATTTTGTAATTTTCAACCTGTGTCTTAAAATTTATTGGTGTTAAATTGTTCAGCATAACTCCCCTCCCCCAGCATACTTTAAGATTTTCCAGTTATTTGTAGGATCTAACGTGTTATCTTTTTATTTAATCCCATTACTGGTCAGTTGTACTTTTTCTCTGTGCCCCTTCTCCCACTTAATTCTCTCTGTTTGCTTCTGTTTGTCTATTTTTCCTTCCCTTCTTCCCTCTTTTCTGCAGGACACGTTGTTAAGAACTCAGCAAATTCTTTTTGTTATACTTCCCAGGTGTATTTGATCTCATTAAACCATGAGTTCTTTGAGGGCTGCGGCCATGTCCTAGTTCCCTATGTAGTCTTATGCTTTATGTTTAGCTTCAGAGGTGACAATTTAAAAAATTTTTTTCATTCATATACATTGCGTTTCATGCATGTAAATGATGTTCTGAACAGGCCTTCATTTACATTCTATTTCATTCATTTATATTGTGGCTTTGGGTTTTTCCTCCCTTGCAATCATTCCACCAACTGCCCTTGTGAAAGCAAGTAAAGCATCTGCTTCATGCCTCATGCCCAGTATTCCTGTCTTAGATTGTCAATTGCTGCCTTTGCCATCCTTATTAAACCAGTACTCTGAGGGAACAAGCTTTTCCCTTTTAATGAAGAATCTTCTGTTCAACTTGGGAACTGATCCATAAGCAAAGTCTAGTCCAGGTTGAGCCATCCACCAGGTTGCAGCAGTCAACCCCAGCCCCCAGCATGGATTATCTTCTCTTCATCTGGTTGGGTTCTGATCCATGGCTAGGTTCAGATAGGCATCAGCTGTAAGTGCAGGAGTCCATACTTGTTGGTCTCTTCACTCAGCCCAAGCTCCCATGTGCAGCCCAGTCATATCAACAAGCCAGGAGTCCTCAGGACTCCCTGTTCCTCAAGCCAGCAAGCCTTCCAGCTCATCACCACACATCTGTGCATGCTGGGTGGGCAGCGCTGAAGAAACATGTCTAAGCTCAGCCTGTTCCTCCATTGTTGCATTCCTCCCACTCCTGTGGGCCCAGGTGATTGCTGTGAGTGAGCACTCTGCAGATTAGGTCTCGGAAGTGGGCTCTGATGAGCACAAGCTTTACCTGCCCCAGATGCCTAACAGTGCTCTCTGCAGTCTTTTCCTTTCCTTTCCCCCATTTTTCTCTCCTTTTCTGATTGCCCTTCTTTCGAAAGTGGATCTCTTCAATCAGAAGTCCAATGTGGGTCCACATATCCATTCAAATGCAAATCTTTATTATAACTGTGTGCTTTGATGTATTTCTAACATTGTCTTTTCCTTCAAACTCTAGGGTTTGAAACTGCCAAGTCTTTTGCCCTCCACGGTGCCCATGTGATCCTGGCCTGTAGGAATATGACAAGAGCCAGCGAAGCCGTGTCACGCATTTTAGAAGAGTGGGTGAGTACGTGGTCTTTTTTTTTTTTTTTTAATTGCCAGCTAGCCACACTAGGATAAACACATGGAAATTTTAGTGTGGTGTGTAAAGTTTATTGCTCTTGAAATAAAGTTTTCTTTTTCTTTAAAGCCACATTCACTTTGTTTGCTTTTTCAATAAAAGAATGAGCAAGCCCATTATTATCTACACAGTTGTTTATAGTTCATTGTTAGTGTCATCTGTTTTTATTATTCAGAGATTTGAGAATGTTTACTCTTCTAACTCCTGTGTTAAGAAAACGAAAATACAGCTAATGCCCATGCATGCAACTGGGGTGTCATTATGCTTATGAGTTGATTGTAAAGTTAGCAAAGAGGAAATTTTAATCCTATCTATGTTTTATACTTCCTGCTTTTTATTCTGTGTCTTTATCCATGCTGATATAGTGATGTGTTGAATTTACTAGGCAAACATTTACAGTTTGTTTGAAGGTTTACAGTGCTCTTGAAACTGAGAAAATAGCATTGTTCAAAACAAGGTCCCTGTCTTCATGGGGCTTGCCTTGTAGGTAGAGGATGAAGAGCTTAAAGTTATGTGCGAGTTAATATTTCATAGGATGTCAGGCTGTAATAAGTTCAGTAAAGGGTGAGGAGTGACAGGGACTGGTGCACTGAGGCCTCTAAAGCTCTGGCATTTGTTTTGAATCTTAAATGGAATAGTAAGCCTTGCACAGTTTGAGAAATAGCTTTTCCTGCAGTGGGAACAGGCTATACAGGGGTAGGAATGGGCTTGGAGGACTCAGAAAATGGGTACTGTCATGATGGGAGGGGAAGAGGCTACTGACGGGTAGGGGGTGCCACATAGAGTCTTGGAGACAGTGGTTTGGGCCAGTGAATCATGCCAGCTATTTGCTGTTTAAGCGTGATTTCTGGGCTTCGTTGTCAAGACTAGTCGGCCTGCATGCATTCATTGCCTTGCTACTTGGTCACATATTCATGAACGGTTTCACTGAGGGGTGCTGGCAATCTACTGCTAAGGCAAGCTAGACATTGTCACCAACCTTATGTTACTTTTAGCCCAGAGTGGAACACAGATTTAACCAAGGAATATAAACATCCATGTAAAGTGCCAGTAGTGCTCAGAGCCGGGCCATCTAGCTTCAGTACGGTGAATAACCCTGGGGAGGTGAGAGTGAATGTCAGGGGAGGAGAGAGGAGGGTAGGAGGGAGAGAGATCAAGCCAGGCAGGAGTGGTGCTGGTGGGGATGGCAGAGGGGGTCCAAGCAGTGAGCCCCAGAGTAGTGGGGGGCCAAAGCAGTGAGACTCAGAGCAGAGGGTGGAGGGGTTGGGGTCTCAGAGCACTGAGCCTCAGAGCAGAGGGTGGAGGGGTTGGGGGTCCAAGTAGTGAGCCCCAGAGCGGAGGATGGAGTGGTTGGGGGAGTCAGAGTAGTGAGCCCCAGAGTGGAGGGGTTGCGGGGGTCAGAGCAGTGAGCCCTGTATGGAGGGTGGAGGGGTTGGGGATCAGAGCACTGAGCCCCAGAGTGGAGGGTGGAGAGGTTGGGGTGTCAGAGCAGTGAGCCCCAGAGCAGAAGGTGGAGGCGTGGGGGATCAGAGCAGTGAGCCCTGGAGCAGAGGGTGAGAGCCAGGCAGTTCTCGTCCCAGCTGTCTTCACCTTTCACACACTCATGATTCAGTCCATGTGGAGGAAGAGATGAGGGCACACTGAAGGTGCTTCTGGTGGTGATCTGGACTGAGAAATTATGACAGTAAAGAAACAAATATTCTTTCTGCCTTTTCTGTATGTTTCAAAGAAACCCTTGTTTGAAGCTCTCTGAATCTGTTATTCTTTATTAAATTAAAAGAAGAAAAATGGCAAGGCCCAAGTGTGTGTTTGTTTGTTTTTAATTTAAGAACTTTTTTTCATTTAATAAAAAATTACTCTGTTAAAATACAATAACCTTTATTAGGTGGTACACTACTAATCTCTAGAGATATGTAAAGAAGAGAGCAAATGGTAATTCATGCATGTGATTTGAATGTGCATATTGAATGGAAAAGTATAAAATAAAATATGACAGTTCTTTCTGGCCCTCTCTGGCAAGGTAAATAGTAACCGTTTGTTGTGTAGAGAAATATCTAGAGATGCTGCAGGTTTGGTTCCAGATCATCACAATGAAGTGACTGTTGCAATAAAATGAGCAACGTGATTTTTGTTTGTTTTCAAGTCCATATAAAAGTATATTTGCTCCATAATATAGTCTAGTGAGTATAAAATAGCATGATGGAAAAAGACCGAGATATTGTGAGAATTGTCAAAATGTGACATACAGACATAAAGTGAGCACCTGCTATTGGAAGAAGGGCACTGACAGCTTTGCCTCATTGAGGGTTGCCCCAGACCTTCCATTGGGCTAACCCTCAATATCTGTGAGGTGCTGTAAAGTGAAACTCAATACCACAAGGCATGCCTGTGTTCTTTCCAAAAAACGTTTTATACACTCGTTTGTGCATATGCATTATTTTGTGTTGCTTTGCTGAAAAGGACTTGAAGTACTTACTGAAAGTTTTGCTCAAAGACTATATAGCCTCCAGGATAGATTGCATCTCTTTGTTTATGTAAAGAAAATAAAGGAATCTCACAATTAGGCCAATAAAAACATGATAGTAAAATTTTAAAAAGAAAAAAACCTCCTTTGATAATAGAAATGATAAATGGAGTAAAGATTGGCATTGTCAAGGAATTCATTTTACGTGGGTCCACTATATTAGTGTTCATGCAGTGGTCAAGGAATCAAAGAATGTATTACAGTGGGCAACTCTGACGCCCAGGGGCCTCTTTAAAGTGCTGCAGAGCAAGAATGCCAGTTTCAAGACTAAAGTGTGCCTGACCCATGGCACACTTGAAAATGTGTCTCACCTATGTTGGGCGTGTTATCAGGAGGGACCGTGCCCTGGAGAATGACATCTGCTTGGAAACATAAATCAGTAAAGGAAGGGAGACCATCAAGGAGATGGACTGAGTTGGTGACAGTGGCAATGGGTTAAGCACAGCAGAGACTGCGGGGTGGTGCAGGACTGGTCAGGATTTTGTTCTTTTGTTCACAGGGTTGCTGTGGGTCAGATCCAGCTCCACAGTGCCTAACAACAACTGCCTTATTGCTCTAAGTGGTGCTCTCTTAAAATTTATTAGACTCTCTTGCATTTTTTTTACCCGTAATTGCGTATGTTGCATTGATCACATCCTTGGTGTATATATTTTTTTTGTATTTGTGTGTGTGTATATATTTGTGACTACATCCGTAGGGCACAATCTTAGCAGAGAATTCTCTGACTCACAGGATATACACATTTACAATTTTGTAGCATGTTCCCACTAGTCATCAAACAGTGTGGTCCTAATCTCCACTTCCACTGACACTGTACTTGCTGTCTACTTGGGGCTGAAACTTTGCTAATGTGAAGTTCTATTTTAAACTAGAAAAAGAGGCTCTAGTGAATACTGTGATACTTAAATTATACAGGGAAAGTAATGTTTGAGAGAGTTTGGGAAGATAATGCTAAAACAATTGTTGATGTGTTGTAAAAATTTTCCTTCTTTTCTTATGAAGCAACGTGTATGGGAAAGATTCCTCGGTGTTTGTACTGTTCTAACCATTGTCTGAGGCAGAGAATCAGAGGACACTGAAGTGCCCTACCTTTTCTTCCTCCTGGGACAAGCTGCTTGTGTCCACTGTCTTGTTTTCTTATTGCTGAAGAAGTCCCTCCGTTCAGCCTGCCTTCATTTCATTCATTTTAGCCCCCATTGCTTCCATGTAAGTTGGTTAAACGTTGGGTTGTTAAGTGAAAGTTTCCCAGCCAAAGTGGCCAGCCACTCCCCCAGAGAGATAGTACGTAGTCCTTCACTGCGATTCACAGCATGCAGGGAACTTTATCGTGGGATCGTGCTGCGTTCCCATTAACCCCCAGCAGTGGCTTGAAGGTTTTTTCTTTAAGTTTTTGGGTGACAGATTTATCATTCTCTCTTTACCTGAATATGACATAAAAGCAACCTAGTGAACAGTGATCTAAGAGAAGGAATCAACTCTCGGTTGTCACTATCAGGAACAGAGGCAGAGGACCTGGGAAAGAAAGACCACTTAGGCTCACATGACGAGTCAGATGTGTCCCTCTGGTTACAGAGGCTGTAGACGGAAAAACCTTTCCCTCCTCCTCTCTCAGCTCTTTGCTGGCTGCCTGTATGTCTCCTTATACCATGTCCTTCCATTCCCCAGATTACAGTCATAGAAACTCACATCTGGCACCAAAAGTGTATAAATGGAAACCTGTGTGGGATATCATCATTGTGATTTCACCCTATTGGCCTGTTGAGACGGCTGAAGACATGCATGAGGTCGCAGGCCCTGCCTCGGCGCCCGGCTTGTGCCCTCCACTCCCGGTGGCTGAAGCGTGTGCTTGGGTTTCCTTGAGGCCTCCGGTAGCTCACTTTGTGCAGGGTTCTAGCTGGCACATCATTAATGCTCCCTTCTGGTTTTCCTCAAGGTCAGTTTGATGAACACCCGTTCTTCAAGCTGCTTGCCAACTTTCGCTGCTTAAACTGTAGGCTGCAGCCTCATCCCTGGTGCCGGGAAAGTGCTCAGCATAGTGACGCCCCACAGGAGACCCTTACCATGAGCCAGACACTTTACTCTCAGCAAAAGCTCACTCAGAAGTTACTGGGTGGTGGGGCTGTCTCCTCATGAGCGCCCAGGCTCCGTGGGCACCCAACTCCTTCCTCCTCCTCCTCCTCCTCACGCTTTTTCTGTCTGGTCTCACTATCCCTGCCTAAACTCTGTGTCCCAGAACTGGCATGTTCCAGAACATTCTGCCTCTTAGCCCAAGGAGTGTTGTTCTCACAGCCACGATGGGACGACGAACAGCTACCACGTGTCGGTTTTCCCCTGTGGGCTTAGCACTCGAGAAACTGAGACAGAGGCCTGGTGGTCAGTGTTTTACAGGAGAGACAGTGAGTAGAGGACCGAAAGGTG